TGACAATTACATTAAATATGCATATAAATATATAACTTGACTATTTAAACAATTTAATAAATACCTAAATAAATATGCATGTTTAAGAACAATTTTTGGATAACACTGTAAAAAAATATTTTGTCAGGTAACCTAAAAATGTGCTTTGCTAGTAACATCTTGTTTTTTGTTGATGTCAAAAATAGAATTGAATATGACTTAATCAACCTGAATACATTAGGTTACACCAACAAAAGTCATTGTAAGGTCAGATCAAGTAGAAATAACGTATTAAAGTAATACAAGCACTAAAATATTCACTTTTTACAGTGTAGAAGTTCCTAATCATTAAGACTTCACCACTTCTTAGAACCTGCAGAAAGAGGAAAAACAGAGAAATGGGTACGTTAGTGAACCATAGGCCTGTATCTTCATATTGATAATAATACGCAGTTTGATAAACAGTTTTCCACAAACAGTCCTTTCATTTATATTTAAAGTACACGATGTCCATTTTAACTGTTGCTGTACGATACATAAATGAAGTGGTTACCTGAGCGTCCGGCGGTGTTACATCCCAGAGACGACATGGAGCCGATTCTGTCCAGTTTGCGCCCGAAACACCCGGAGTAACTCTTGGTGTCCTGCCGGACCGTCCTCAGGTCCCGAGCAGACAGATAGTCTCTCATGTCAGTCTGGGGTGGAGTTTGAGCGCGGGTTTCCTCAGGATTAGCCTCCTCTTTCTCCACTTTCGTCAGTGTTTGCTCTTGAGAAGCAGCGGGAATGGACTCTTCCAGTCGCTGTAGAAGAAGCTGACAGGGCCATATGTGGCTCATTAGTTTGCCCTATTGAGCGAGCATTATTAAGCAAGTTTTCCTCTCTCATTCCTGGTTTTTCGTCTTACCTTTAAGACATCCATGTCCTCGCTGGTTAAGTCTGTGTTTTGCAGCGGGAACGTGCACATGAGCTGAACGCTGAAGAGCAAGAGAAGGCCAACTAGAGGAATGTCAATCGACTTCATGTTTCCTGATGTTTTTTGCTGCTCTTCTGTCTTCCGTGTCGTTGTCTGTATACTCTGTCAGTGGAGCCTCGAGCTCTTTTATACTTAAAAGTTTGACACGCCAGTAATGTGAAGAATGGCCGCTGCATTCCGACACCTCAGTCTGATAAAGGCTGCTGTCGGAAATGAGTCCTTTAAAGCTTATAGTCGAGTCCAAATGGGCCATACAGTGACGGGAACACCTTCATGATTTCATTTTACTCTACTTCTCTGAAATCATTCAGTGTACATGGCACGTTAAGGCAAGTTACAGTACATAACTTAATAATAATGTCACTATATAATGACAGAGTGAGCAGTTTATAGGCTGATATATTATAATGTAGGCTAATAACTGTGAACATCAATCAACACGGTCTCAAGATAATTCATACGATTTCACTCAAAGTTTCGTGTTATCTGCTCGCACTCCAGGGGCCGGTTGCATAAAAGGTTTAGTCTTAAGTTAGTCATCTTTTTTTTTTTTTCATAGACTGGTCATACACTCTCAAATATGGACTAACCCAGCTGTTGGGTTAAATTTTTAAATGAAATCTTAACCCAAAAGTTGGGTTAGTAGGCTACATATCTGACCCGAAGTTAATTGGGTTGAAACAGCCCAACATTTTTTAGAGTGTATTAATTCTTTTACATAAAAGCATAGATTAGTCTACGCTGAAGCCACAAAAAAACAAACAAAACAAGACTTATTACCGCTTGGCTAACTGCTAGTTGGTCAGACTAATTCTTAAGACACGATATTAAAGGGGTCATATGATGCTATTTTAAGAAAGGAAAAATTTAAATCGCATCATATGACCCCTTTAACACAGAGGCTAAGTTTATGCAACTGACCCCAGGTTTACGGATGGAGCTTCATGCATTTTAATACAAATCGATTTTATACAAAATCGACCGTTTTTAAAATAGATACGTTTTCTCATGAGATCGGGTTGACGTAAAAAAAAGTAAATAAATAAATGCATTCATTCATTTATCCACTCATTCATTTATTATTGTTATTATTATTATTATTTTATCATGTAATGGACACGTGATGTGCACATTTGGATCAGCTGTTGCTCTGCTGAGGTTCGGTCAACTCGAAAGATCTAAATGAAACATTAAATAATATGAAAGTAGGGCAGAGGAGGATAGCAATACATGTTTATTAAGACATTATGGGTGCGACGTGTGTTCCTGATGCTCAGATCTTCACATAAATTTGTATAAACGTACAGTAATTATTTATAGGAATTGATTAGACGACGGCCTACATTCTTAAAAATAAAGGTTCTTTATTGGCATCAGTTGTTCCATGAACAACCTTTAACATCCATGTAACTTTTCCAGTGCACAAAAGGTTCTTTATATGTATATATATATATATATATATATATATATATATATATATATAAATTGGATGTCAGTTTAACGCGTTAACTTATTTAATTAGTTGTGAAAAAATAACGCGATTAAAATATTTTAACGCACTGTCCTCGCCCCCAGACCTGTATGTCATCTTATATTTCATACAGTTGACTGTTGACAAATACTATGCAGGGCAACAACTCTCCTGTATGAGTTTCTTATATCACATGATAAGCGATATCACACAAGCAGCGAGAGCAATATCTATCACACGAGTGCTGTTTATGTCCGAATACCACGAGTGCAAATGTGATTTTATGCAAAAGTTCAGTAAATAAGAAGCTAATATTGTGTTATATTTTAAACACAGTATTGTCTGTTTTTGCTCAGTTTTACCAACAAAAACCTATGAGCTATAATGCCACAGCAGAACTGTTGTGCGTCTCCGAGCAGCACAGTGGTGTTTAGTTTCTGAATTAATCTGCGTTTTGAATGAATCGTGTGAACCAATGATTCAAAGGCCCATTCATAAAGAGAGCCATTTACTTCATTCCTGAATGAATCAGTCGTTTGAACGAATCGAATGAATGAATAAATGACTCATGAAGACATTTACCGCCACCTGCTGGCAGTTTTAGTTTCTTATATAGTGTATTATGTCATTAAAAAAAAATAAATAAAGGGATAGTTCATCCAAAAAAAAATGAATCATGTAATCATTTACTCAAACCTGAATGTCTTACTTTCTTTTGTGCAACATAAAATAAGTTATTTTAAAGACTGTAGAGCTGTTTTGGTTACCAATGACTTCCATTGCATGAACCAAGAAAAAAAATAGATGTTTCTCAAATTACCTTCTTTTATGTTCCATATATATATATTTTTTATATATATATATCGTTTTTAAGGGTTTATATAGGTATAGGCTACATTATAGATATATGTATCACAACGCTGATTTTAAAGTGCTGGTATATCACAATGCTGATTTTCATATAATTTCCACATTATTACAAATCTGGGACAACAGATCATCAGATTTATGGTTTAGTTTATTATGTATTAATATACAAGGCTTGCATTGTTAGTGAATTACCAATCCTAGTTTGAATTTAGGTTTATTCTGTGTAACTGTTACAGTGTATTTAACGATTGTTTTAATATAAATCAAACCTCTTAACTGGAACACAATGCCTCAATTGGTTTATGATCATTCTCTTCATAGTCTCATGATCTCTCAACATTTCTGTGCTCAAATCGTCTGTTTCCAGTTTTCAGCTTGTTCTGTAGTCTCTGAATCCAACACGTTCTCATTCCCAACTCGTCAGATACTTTTCAATAATATCTGCCTTTACAAACCCATTTAAAGAATTAAATGCGACTGGATCTGACGCATAGAGCAAACAACTGAGAGCAATGGGGTTCCCTACACGTTTAAAAAATGACGCTAAAGGGGCACCCAGTGCGTAAAAAGTGATGCCAAGGGGTCCTGACGAAGAGTCTGTGTGTGACGAGCTGAGAGTGAGAACGTGTCAGTGGACCAGGGCCTATATGGACAAACAAAGTATAGGCTGGATTATATAGCACCTAATATTTAATAACAATAAAGGTCAAGCTTCATAGTGAAAGAAAATGAAAATTTATATAATAAATGCTTCGAATTTTAGTCAATGTATGATTTACTTTACTTTTTTTTCAGTATAGTGTTTTGTTTGTTTATCCGGGTCACGCCTAAATTCAATAGATCTCACCAACAAATATTTATTTCATTGATTGTGTCAATAAATGATCCATGTGATCATTGGACTATTTGGACTATACTTCAAACATACACTGCAAAATGCTTATCATTTAAGCCATTTTAGTCATGGAAACATCTAAAAAAAAAAAAAAACATCCGAAATTCGTCAAAAATTGACTGATTACATTATGTTCGCTCAGGTAGAAACAGACCCTTATGGCCAATTTGGCACGTTTGAATCACTGATTCATTGTATAATAATGTAACTCCTGAAATGCCCCTGTAGCCGGATGCAAGGAGCAAAACTGTCTTTTAAGTTTAGTTTTTAATTTTTTACTGTATTTCTTTATGTCTATTTTTAACGAAACAACTGAGACATTAACAAATGCATTATGTTGATGCCAATGCATTACATTAACATACGCATTAGGCTAATTTATCTTCTATTCATCGTCAGATATACTCACTTTAGTTTTAAACCACATTGACACACACGTTATGCAAAATATTTATTTTGCAGCAATATACATTCTCTATAATACGATTGTATTTAGGGAGGACATAATAAATACATACATACATAAATAGATGCAACAGTACAAAGCAGCAGTCATGGAATCTTCAAATACAAACTATTTACATGTCTAAATCTTAAATAAATAATGACTAACACATACCGCATCACCTGAACACAAATCTACGGTAAACTTTCAGTCAACACTTCTTTATCTAAGATAAAGTGTGTCAAGTATTTCAAAGTCCCAACCTGCAAGAAGTGACATGACATGAAGTAATAAGACATGACTTATTTAATTTCTAACACGCGTTTGAACAGTGTTACATATCTGGTCAAGATGACCTGACATCTCCTAACATACCTCCGCTTAACACCCGAGTCCGCTAAAAGACCCGATTCTTTCGAGTCTGACCCCAAAGCAGCTCCTCAGCCCGCCTTTCTTGAATCGAGTCCACGAGCGCTTGGATGTGGACAGTAAGTCACCCAGGAGACGCTCGAACGCGCGATCTTTCCCCGCCAGCGCTGAGTTGCGCTCGTCTGATTCCCACGGTTGCTCGTCGCGCTCGTCCAGTGCGCTCTTCTGCGCTCCCGCATCCTTCTGCTCCATCTCCGACTCCACAAACGGCGCGTTCACTTCTTCGTCTAACAAATGCATAAGACTCTGCTATTTAAAAAAGCATATGATTAGCCAGAGTCTAATAAACCTTAAGAGTGAGCCAAGACTGAAAGACTCACCTGTAAACTGGTAACTGGTTTGGCACCGACCCAGTTTAAAAGTAGAAGTGAAGATACGCAGAATATAGAGATGTTGGCAATCATTGTTGGTGAAGTATTTTGGGGGTCAGCACTCTTCAGCGGTGGCTGTGTGCGGCTCCGTTCACTCTTCTCTCGAACCCAAGCACCGTGTCCAGGTGCGCGCTTTTATTTCGCCGATTTCGTCACGGTCACCCAGGAAAATCCTCCCTACGGGGAGGGCTCTTCATTTTCATTAGGATCCCTCCTAGTTGACCGAACATTACAATGGTGACGTGCAGGGGGCTCCTTCCAATTGTCAAAGCAACACTCATCTCATCCCAGTGTTTTATACAGAAAGCTCTACCCAAATCAGTCTAGAGTTTTTTTTAGTTTTTTTTTTAATCCAGTATATTGTGCATTTAGTTCAAGGCGTACACAAATTGCAAAGGCAAGCTACTTTAAGAAATAAGTAATTTTACACACTTTACCTGGAGAGAAGCTGCCAAGTGTTTAGTCTTTGATATTTTCATTTGCAATATTTATGCTCTTAAAATGAGGCGTGAAGCAAAACTCTGGCTAGCTAGAACCTCATTTTGACTTTACTAAGACAACATACATAAACATGTTTCATAAATGCTGAAAAACATGGTTTTGAAGGTTTTGAGGGCAGCATAGATGTATCCTTCATTTACATATGATATGCCACACTCCTGTAATTTTTTTTTTTTTTCCCCCTATTTTTTTTTTTGTGCATTTCTACAGAGAAATAATCATTGTACACTCTTAAAAATAAAGGTGCTTCACGATGCCATAGAAGAACCTTTTTGTCTAAATGGTTCCATAAAGAACCTTTAACATCTGAAGAACCTTTCTGTTTCACAAAAGGTTCTTTGTGGCGAAATAAGGTTCTTCAGATTACAAAAAGGTAAGAAAGAGATGGTTCTTTGTGGAACCAAAAATGGTTATTCTATGGCATCGCTTGAAGAACCTTTTGAAGCACCTTTATTTTTAAGAGTGTAGTTGAATTTGTTCTAGATCACTGACAATATGATGCCTTGGAAGCATGCCTGAGTTTCCCTAGGAGGTAAACAAACACTGCCTTCAGTTTTGGACAGCCATTGTCTGTCAGCTCAGTTTACTGGTTTTCATGCAGGCAGTGTGTGGTTAACGCTCAGTCTGAGAAAGTCTTCTCAAAAGAGATCCCTCGCTTGTTCTCACAGCGATGTGAAAGCACAGCAGTGGGATTTTTATGTAGTGATGCAAAAGTTTCTTTACACATAAAGATGACCCAACAAAACAGAAGAAATTACTTTTCAGAAAACTTCAAACAATAGAAAGAACCACTGAATCCAAGTCTTAAGCTAATTTTCCCATATTTATGACCAAATCCAACCACAAAACGTACAACACACATTCACTGCAATGGAAAGCAATTTCTCAATACTAGCTGGAATATATAATTTTTCAATCAATAATAAAATGCATTCTAATTTTCTAAAAAAGTGTAAACACCGTGACTTTGTGTCTCAGCCAATGGCAAGAGTTCGTGGTGAGACTATGTGACCAATGGCAGACAGCAGAAACCTGTTTGAAAACAAGCGTTGTTTGTACATTTGCTTTGGTGACGCCAGTGGCTCAAGAATTACACACTTCAGCTTTAACCCATCATTGTCCCTCATTACTTTCACATTGTCTGTTGGCTGTGTTTATTATACACTATCATATTTCATTCGGGCAGCTCTTAACTTCAAGCACAGTTCACTGAGCACTGCTCTTTCCCTGATGAGAAGCCAATGCGGCTAATTGAGATTTTAATGACAGGCTGCACTGCAGTCTGTTCCAAATGTCATTTATTTGCTAAAGAGATCATATTCATAATGTATAACAAATGTGTTAAAAAGAACATGATCAGCAAACTGCAAACCATGATAATTCAGTATTCAGATACGTGTTTTTGTTGTCCATTTGAAAGCGTTTAATTTCAACATAAGCCATTTCAACATCACAAATAGTGTTTAAAATTTTTATAGCCACATTAGGCTTGCAGAGGGAACGATATCTGCCAGATGACCCGTTTTCCTAATAGCTGTGCTAGATGCCGATGGCCACTAAAATGCTAATCAGTCCCTGTTTGCCTTCATACTGTGCTCCAGTGGAAAGCTAGCAAGAGATCATCAGTCAAGCCCTGGCCACCTGTCCTCCTCATGCTGGGTGGAAACCAGCCTCAGGGCTTTGTTGGTTTGAGCCAGGCCTCTCTTGATGTTCAACCCAAACCTGAGTAGCCAGCAGCCATGTTAGAAGGATGAGATACATTTATCTTAAAGTTTCTCCCTCACCCTCCCTTGATCTTGCCATGAGATTCAAATGAATTTTTTTGCAGGGTTTAGCTGCTCACAGGCTGCATGTTTGAGATCACTGTTCACAAAAACAGTTTACTAATTTAAAGGAATAATCTGGGTTCAATACAAGTTAAAGAGGAGTTAAAGGGGTCATATGATGCTGCTAAAAAGAACATTATTTTGTGTATTTCTTCTTTATGCACCAAGAGCTTGTAACACTCCAAAGAGAAAGGAAAAATTGAAATCGTATCATATGACCCCTTTAAACTATTTTTTATGGTATTGAACAGAGTATAGAGTTCAGAGAAAGGAGACTGTAGTTGTTTCTCCTGTGAAGTGTTTTTGCTGTGAGCATTACTTATTTTTCATAAGGTTATTGAATTCAGCAAACTCCTAACTGTCACAAACATGGGTTGTATGATGGTATGATGGCTGTGGAGAGTCCATACAAAAAGACAGGAGTGGGCAAAGGGATGGCGACCAAGCACAGTGGACAGGAGTTCGCAAAGGGATGAAGAATGGAGCAAGCAGGACCAGGGAGGCAACAATGGAGGAAGGAGCCAGAAGGTGGGGGTCCAGAGCCCAGCCAAGAATGAGGTCCAAGGTGGAGTCGCAGAAGGGAGGAGTCATGGTGGTGTCTTGGGAGGAGGAGCCAGGAGAACAAGCTCCTGCAACAGACAGTGGAGACCCAGACGAAGCCAAAGAGACACAGAGCCTGGGTGACACCAATGTCCCAACGTGGAGCCGGAGGGACGAGGGAGCCCGGTGGAGCTGGTGGGGTAACAAGCCATGGTGAAGATCGAGGGAGCTAGGAGCCAAGGCGGAGTCGATGGGTCGCAGGGCCAAGGTGGAGTCAGGGATCCAGTGGTTGGAGGCGAAGATAGGGGATCCTCACGCCTAAGTGGCACTGGTGACTGGAAGACCCGATGCAAACCCACATAGGCGATGGCAGGCAGAGGGTGAGCTGAGGGGATGGCAGGTGGCAGCGGAGATGGGACAGAGTGCTTGGCTGGCATGGAAGGTGGAGGTAGATGGATGCTTGCCCAAGGTGGTGCCAGAGGGACGAGTAAGACCGGCGGAGCAGTTAGGATAACAGGCCATGGCGGAGATGATGGAGCTAGGAGTCAAGGTGGAGGTGAAGGATCGTGAGGCTGTGTGGAATTTGGGATTCCATGGCTGGAGGTAGAGACAGAGGAACCTCACATGAGGTGGAGCTGAAGACTGAAGGGCCTGAGGTAAATTGGCCTCATTGGTGGCTCGCAGAGAGTGAGCTGATGGGCCGACAGTTGACAGAGGAAAAGGGACTGAGTATTTAACAGGACTAGAAGGCGAAGGTGGGATAGGGAGGATGGGTGGGAGATTCAGGAGGGTTAGGGCTGGAAGGAACCAGTGGAAAAACAGGAGATTTAGGGCTGGATGGAACCAGCAGAGACACAGAATATTTAGGGCCGGACGGAACCAGCGGAGAAACAGACAATTTAGGGCTGGATGGAACCAGCAGAGACAAAGAAGATTTAGGGCTGGATGGAGCCAGAAAAAATTCAGAAGGCTTAGGACTGGACAAAGACAAGGTTGTAGAGAGGGTCAAAAAGAGAGAGTAGATCCACAGAGGCCAGCTGCAGCTCACCCTCACAGTGAGGATGTGGGCGGGGCCTTCCTCCATGCCTTCATACTCCACTAAAACTCAGAATCTCACTGACGATGTGGCCGGCTCACACTCCTGGTCAAACTCTTCTTGAGGCTCGGGCTCCGGGGCGAGGATGGGCTCAGTCTCCTCGATTGGCTCTTTTATTGGGCAGGCTCCGTGTCTGCGGAGGGCTCCGGCTCACACTCCGGGTTGTGTGGGGATGATGGCTGGCTGGGCTCTGGGCCAAGCTGCGAGAAGTTTGCGTGGTGGGGCTTGACGCTGGTGTAGTCCTCGACATCCACAGTGAATGCAGATACTTTTATCCACAGGGTGAAGTTGATGTAGCTCTTCAAGGTCCAGCTAGGATCTCCCCAGGGCAGGACGAAGCGAATGTTGTCATCCAGCCTGTACTGAAACCCCTCCATTAAGCAATGTAGTCCTCCAAGCCCTGGCCACCCTGAAAGACAAAAGCGACAGTCCCTCAACGTCCCGGGTGGAGTGGTACCACATTGATGGCCGCGAGGGTGCTGTAGCATCTTCTGCCTTTCATTTTCGGTTTGGTCCGGTCTTCTGTCACAAACATGGGTTGTATGAAGGCACAAAGACAAAGATAAAGAGTAACAGTATTTAATGAATTCCAAAAACACACTGAAGGTCCATATAAATCCACAACACCAACGATACAGCAACGAGACAAGACAAACACTTGGGAAGAACACAGGGTTTAAATAAGAGAGAAACTAACAAGATAATTTAACTAA